AAGAGGACATGCTGTTTCTAAGTGGAACAAACGCACCTTCAACTTAACACTTGAAAGCAGTACAACAAATGTTTTTCCCTTCCCAAGAAGCACTGAGAAGCAATGCCAGGGTCTGACAGGCTGTTATGAGCTGTATGAGCCATGCATACACTGCTGAGTAAGTCCCTCCCAGAGCGTGCCAGCAGCATGGATATGTACAGACACAGCTGGCCAGATCTGAAGCTCCTGATGCCTGTCTCCAAATATGCCTCCAAAGGCTGTAGATCAAGAAAGGCCTGGGATTTGCACTCACCAGGACCCTTGGTCTTGTCTGAATGAATGAGGTGCCAAGGACTAAGGTCCACCACAGACAACATCTATTCCTGTAGCACCCAGGGTTTGTATCAGTCCCTGCCTCTGTATCCCAGATAAAAAGTGGGCTAACCCTTTAAGACAGGGTGACTTCTTTCTTCCATGTGATCAGTAAGGTATTAGAGAATGATGATTATATTATGCCCTCCCTAGTAGAGAAGAACTAACAAATCTACTTAGCTATCAGTGTAAGAGAACCTATTGAATTGTTTGTTCAAGGAAAGTTGAAACACTTCAACATTATCTTAGTTTTCTAACATGCAGCTAGCGGAATTGCCCCTTATGTTGCCAGAGACACACACATGCAAACAGTGTGTTCTGTGCAGTTAATGCATTTAGTTAGACAACTGTGAACATGAAGTTTGGATTTTTTCAGCATGGATGTAAGAGAGAAATGAACATGGAATGTCAGTTATCCACAAAGCTTCCATAATTCAGAGAGGTAAGGCTTTACAGACATGTCAGTCAGAAATAGTGCCAGTGTGCCAAATATCTGTTTGAAGTATTTTATATGAATTAAACTGTTCCACAAGAAAGCAGTGACTTCACTGTCCTCACTTCTTAGTTTGGTAGAGTGATGGACTTTGAACTATCCTACACTTAAAACCCCACTTCAATCACTCATGCACTGATGTGTTTGCTTAAGACAGATGATGAATAAATTTTCCACTACCAGCTGTCCAAGCTCACTGTTAGTTAGCACTTAGCTCACTAAGGTTAACACACCTTTTAAGATGAACTGCAAGAAACAAATGCCAACAAATATAAAACATGCAATTACTTCAAGTTATATCTGTCTCTTATTTTGTTTCAGCTATAGAATTCTCCACCTGGGAATTCTCCCCAGCCCTTAGTCCCTGGAGCCAATATTATCAGGGCAAATGGTGCACATTCAAATCCTGAGCACTCAGGTGTATGAAAATATGTAACACTTATCCCAAGTAACTGAATGGTTAAACACGAGGAACTAAGATTCTGCCAGCTACTGTCAGCAGATATTATGACAACAAGAGAGAGAGCTCCCTTGGAAAACAGCTCCATAAAATGGAATGAACTCTGTTGAAAACTTAAGACCACTGTAAACCTCCCTGCTTTTCCTCTTCAGATGCCAAGTGCCTTGCTCTGACTGCCTGCAGTATAAACAGATAGCTATTTAGAAACTTGTATAAAATAAAATTCCAAAGCAAACACTCCAGCAATTCTCTGTGAGCCGTTCATCATCTGGTGGGAGGCTGCGAGACTACGGACGGCAGGTGTCAGACGCGCTAAGTAACGCCTGCCTGCCCGAGGAGCGCTCGCGTGCTCGGCACTGAAAAGCCCCTGAAGTGGTGCAGAAAGCAGGAAGGCTCAGATCTAGAAGGAGCTCTTTGTGTATTTCAGTCTTTTCTCAGATATCCAAAAAGCCATATAAAGCATGAGTCAAGCATTTAGAGAAACATAAACCTACAGTTGGCATGCTTCATTTAGGAGTAGATGTATGTTGGCAGTTTTCCTTCTCCTCACTTAGGGTCCAGAGCCAGCCAATCTGTTATACACTTTACTAGCTTTGATGGACACAAACCTTCAGGACAGATTTAAAGTTAAGCCTGCACTTTATTGCCCTTAGGAAATGTACCTAATCATGAAACAAGGCCTGACAGTGAACTTACAATGAAGCCCATAAACTTCATGCAATGAAAAAGGTAGTGAAATGTTCTGAAAGTGAATTAAAAATCCAGCCAGCTCAAGCTCACATCTCATCAAGCACCAATCCAGTCATTTTTCAGGCTAAGTACTTCTTCTGGCACTAGAGTTCAACTCTCAGGTGAATAAAGGTCCTGGCTATGGCAAGCATCAAAAAAAACCCTAAAAAATCCAAACTAAACTTATTTATTTGTTATTATTCAGAGTTACAGTCTTAGTTGTCAAGCACTCAATTCTGTCATGATGGCTATTTCCACAGAAATGAAAGCATGTTGTGCCTTGATGACACAGCTCTTCCCCTGTCCATTTTATCAAGCAGTGAAGAGAAAATAATTGAAAAAGAGAAGGCCTCTGGCCTTCTGGGTGTGTTTCACACTGTGAGTGTCAATGCAAGGCTGAAGCTTCATGCCCCCAGGCATGCATGGCACTCACCCTGCTGCCAGGGCTCTCAGGACAATGATAAACTCTTGATATTGCTTAAATCAGAAACCAAACATTCCTCTTCACAACACACACTAAAAAACCACGCACCACGTGATTTCTGCAAAACTTTACACTGCTGATCAGAAACTTCTAAGACAGTCAGACACAGCATATACTTCAGATTCTTCCTAGATCCTCAAACACATGAATGCTACCATGAGCCCTTCACCACTGAGGTTATCATCGTGGTATGCCATGAAAAAATCAAACCTCAAGAGACTGTACAGAGCTTCAGTCTAAGGTCAGGAGCCAGAATCAGGTGTAAGGAGGTGAGATTCAGGATTAAATGTCCCAGCTGTGTCCTGTTGAAGGATGATGGGATGATCTGTGCAAATGTTAAGTCAAACATAGTTCTTACCTAAGTACTTGAGCTTCAGAAAACATTTGCTAATGGTCTTGCAGCTCCTTTGCCTTTCCCACTTCATTATGCCCAACTCAGAATGCTTCATGCACTGCAGAACAGCTGACCTTTTTCCTCCCTGAATACACTGGAGTTACTAATACGCAGCAATTCTTTCTTACTAAGATGTTAATGCATTCATGACTGGCCAGAACACATAGAAGCAAGAGGACTTGGGGTTTTCCTAAATCTCAGATTGCAATAAAAGAAAGGAATTTCAGAAATTAACTTTCCCAGTATCTTACAATGAGTTTAATGCTGTGCTCTGGAAGGTTTATACTCCTCAATCTGATCAAAAGCAGCACTGGGAGGTGGTGGTACCCTTTTTGAACACACAGCACAACAAAGGAATCCAGATCAGAACTTCTAATCATTGTGATGTTCCAGTGTCATTCTGTAATAGTTACTAGAGTGTCAGAACTCCTGACAGATCTCATTTGCCGGCAAAACTTACTGTTGCTACAGAAAACATGCAAGCTAGTAAAATGAGAAAAATCATTGGCAATTGTTTACCAAGTTAGCTGAAACATTTGCTTTCCAATTAGGATTTAAACATTCTGACAATTCAGTAACAGCCAGGAGACAGATGATAAGGGAGGGTTTCATGAAGTGACCCTTTCCAGCCTGAATGCAGCTGCATATCTAGCAACTGTTACTGGGGAAGGGGTTGGTTTCACCCATAGAGAACTAACTTCCCCTGGTAATAGTTAAGCAGCATCACAGTAGGCTTTGGCCCTTTGTTTAATTGCTTTTTGTTGTTGAATACCAACAAGTCCCATTCACATCATATAGTCTAAGGAGATCTTAGGAACAGTACAACAGCTACAGTTTTGGATATCTTAATCATAGCATTTTGTTGCTGTTCTTGGTAAAAGATGTGAAAGTCAGCAGACAGTAAGGAACTGGCAAAAACTGCAAAGAGCCTCTGCCCAGGAAATAATTTTGACTCATAGTTTTTGTCAAGCCAGTTATCATCCCTTATGATTATCACTATACTGAAGACTGAAATTGAAAAACACAGAACAAAAGAAACTATACTGGTGCTGTGTGTTTGTTCTCCAGACACATAAGGGGTGTCACGCTTTCAGAACTGAGCAAACAAATTTTGGTATCAAAATAGTTTTGTTTGGGTGGGGTTTTTTTTCCCTTTAATCCCTATACATTGTTCTTATGATAAAAATCAGGAACTTAAAACAGTAAATGCTTGTGCTAATACTGTAACATTTATTAACTTACCACATACCTCTCTGTATTTGCAATGCTTTATCTCTTTTTTATATATAAATTGTGTATCATTAAGAGTTATCTGTACAACAGCTGCCAAAGAAATAAAAGGACAAATTTAAATATCCATTCTTCCTTCAACCTCACAGTTCTGAAGTAACCTTGTCAACAGGATTTGAGTCCAGCCAACATTCAAGAGGCCTATCTCAGACAGCTTTTGTAGGAAGTGTAACTGGCATGTACATGCCTACATCCTGTCCAGGTCAGTCTATTATCTTTTATGCCTTCAGTCCTGCTTTCTTTTCCCCAGTAACTGCCAGATCCATATTCACTTCACAAAACATAACTGAAAATCTTGAGAACACAAATCTTGCATTATTCTCAAATAAGAGAATGGGCTTTCAATTCATCTGCAGACATTTGCAGAGGATCAAAGCATGTATTCCAGAAGCCTATAGAAAAACATAAAAATACTTACTTGTAGCACTGATTTGGGAATAATTTAGTCAAATTCATGCATACATATGAGACCTGTGCATTTTAATGAACTGAAAAGAGCTAAAATCCTGTGCAACCATTTTTAAAAGAACAGATTTATTCTAAAGATCCTTCACAAACATACAAAAAAATATTCTGCAGGATATGCACAGCAGGTGAGAGTCCTGAATATTTGATCATTTCACCAGGAAATTCTTTCACAAATGAAAAGGCAAGTAGTTTCCTCACCTGCAAACTTAGATTTGCCCAGGAACCTTGCTGTTGTAGGGCAGCAGGCTCCCAGAGAGGAATCTGCTTTTAAAAGCTGCAAAAACGCCCCTTTTACAAAAAAAAAAAAAAGGTTTATTACAGGTAGAGCTCACTTCCCTTCTCAGGAAGGAGACAGTTTAACCAAAGCCCTGCTGAATTTAAGATACAGTTAACTATAAAACAAGAACAGGAGTAAACTCACAGATTCAAAGTGAAGGACTTAGAGGGAGATACAGAGAAATCCCATGGTGCAACTGCTGTCCCTCAAGGCAGCCAGTTACCTTTTTTATCTTCAGTACCAAAATCTTTTGATAAAACCCAAAGCAACTCCCAGAATGGTAAAGCAGGAGTTCCTGCATGTTCCTTCTCTGGCCTGACAGAAGCCACCTTGGTTGGAAGAGGGTCGACAAAGAGGTCTCTCAGTTCCCTGGGAGCCCTTGTTGGGTCTGCAAATACAAGAAAGTGAATGGAAAGCTGCAACATAAAATCAGTAAGGGTCCATGGTAGAAATAGGCCACAGCCTGGAATGTGTCCTCCCACCACATGTTCTGGAGTCTGGTTAAGGGGACACTGTCTGGAGATGTCAGGCACCCAGAAGCAGCTGGGAAGCTCATGGGAGAAGGACTCAGTGCTGGAACAGGAAGACACCAGCCTGTACAGTTTGCTCAAGGCTCACAAGGGACCACCACGAGTGCTAGGAAACACCACAGTGCCCATCCACCCTCCAGCCACACTCACAGAAGTACCTGGGGATTTTAGACTTTCCATTCCTTATTCTGAGTTCTGCAATAAATTAACATCATATAATGTACTTTGCAAGACAGAGAAATGAAATTTTTGAATGCAGTTGAAATAAAACCAGTCCTACTGACTAGTCAAGAATATTACACATGCTCTGGCCAAGCTGGAGCTGAAGCTATCAACTGGCAGGCTGAAGCCAGCATGCTCACTGATCTGTCATTTGGTGCCAAACAGGAAAGATAATGGCTGAGTTCCTCCTACCTTTCTCTTAACAGAAGTACTTTTTTCACTTTTTCTCTATTTGGCTACTTATTCACCTTTTTTTTTTGTTAGGAAGAGTACATTAAGCATCCAAGGATTGTTTTGGCCAGTATTTTACAATTTCCTTTATGAAATAAAACTGGTGACCAATTGTTTTATCAGATCTTCCTTGCCTTAAAATTAGTTTACTTGCACCACTGTTATCAACAGATCAAGATATCTACTTTTCTTCTCAAAGACAATACATTATTCATTCTGTTGAAAAAAAAATAAACCCCTGACTTCATTTAATCAAAGCAAAGAGAAAGCTGAACTATCATGTCAGTTTCTAAGGCATTTACCAGCACTGATAGTCCAAAGTGATTTCATGTCTTCTGACAAAGATCTCTGTGGAGATCATAGTGGGCAATTCTTAAAATCACTTTTATTTTCAGATGTATCTTTACTGCAGTTTATTTGTACAGGCACAGCATTTTATAAAGGACTGAATTGGATTAAATAGCAAGCAAGACATTTCTCCATTATTTCAAGGGAAAGAGAAGAAAACAGTAGTTGCCTGGAAAAGTTCTGTGAGTGATTTACTGATTTCCTTTCTTACATTCTCAATCCCACTTGGAAGTTTTCCTCCTCATGTATCTGGACCCCTCACTGTCGATTGCTTCGTAGAGGTCCTTTTTATTCTCCGCTGTTGCATGCAAATAACCAAGGTAGGCCACACAGAGGCTAATTGCTACCAGTCCAAATGCCATCACAGGTTTGTTCTGACAAGAAAAAAAATGTGGTAAATGTTTTTAGTCAAAACATTTTTCATTAAACTCAAACATTACATTTGTCTATGTCAGCTTAGAAACTGAACAGTAAACTATTGTGACATCTGCAAAAAATCATCACTGCCCTCTTGCAGACTGAATTTTCTGACAGCAAAAGGAATTCCCTTTGAAAAAGAAGATTCTTTCTGGAGACAGAGCAGCACATTGACCAGTACTCTCTATTTTGCTGGTTGGAAATGCTGACTGAGTATAAATGAACCAGACAAAACCAATTACTGAAGGTCTCCACTACAAACTTTTAACAGAATTCATCTGGATATTCTACTGGGACAATGTACTCTGGGCCTGCTTGATTACAATCCTCTAAACCACACTTTGTATTCTTATCACAAAATCTACTTTTATTCGATCGATACTTATTATATGCACAAACTTTCACTCATTTCTGGGTTCTGCAAATGCAGATAAAACCTGAATATCATCAACTTAATCATAAAAGCAAGAAAAAGGAAAATCCAAAATATTGAAAAGCTACCAAAAATCAATTCACTTAATACCAAAAAAGTTTGCATTCTATGATTTGTTCCCTTTTAAATATTAAAAACAACTCCTGTTGTTTTTATTACTTAGTATTATTTAACCTGTCAAATTACATGGGTAATATACCTCTAAACAGGTCTTTCTGAAAGCAACTTGGCTAGGTACAAAAGAATCAGACAATATAGCAACGAAATATAGAATATAGAAATGCAACAAGCAATGTAATGTTCTGTGCTCTCCACAGTCAAGAGTGGAAAAAAGTAAAAATATTTTTAGTTACATTTCTGAGTCGTTTGCATAACAAGAGATGGTTATACAATGCCCAGAGAATTGTAGTGATCGCTTTAAAGCAACTGTATCTCTTCAAGCATATTTAGTTTCTCTCAGAACGACTGTCTTACAGGCTTAATGAAAAGCTCTGGGTTCACAGCTCGGAAAAGCATAGTTGTCTGAACACTCCTCAGTCCTGGTTTTCTCTCTTTGGGTGTTTCATTTTCATTTGGAGGTTTGGTGGAAGACATGTTGCTTAATGTTGAATATTTCCTAGAAGTAGAATGAAAAACAGGTGTAATTTCTGTAAAAAACCTGGAAGAGCTGCATTCACTGAATGCAAATTCACACTCAGTTTGTCTTACAGCATTAATTTTAGCTGGTGTAAATATTACTGATCACCTCTGGTGTCACCTAACATTCCCAGCTTGCACATCCTAATTTTTGGTCTTAATTTTGTGCATCCTAAAATCAACCTTAGGAGATTCACATCTTCATACAGCAAATATAAATCTCCTGATAAGGGGCTTAGGGTTTTTCACTTGTCTTTGACTAATGCTTTAGCTACCTGTGGACCAAACAGCATCAGTCTTCAGACCACTGGCTATAAAGACAATTGTAGGAAAAAATCTTCTACAAAAAGCCTTCTACACAACAGGCCAGCCCAAGCACCACTGTAGTGCAGTCACTTTAGCCACCCACCCCAGCAGGCCCAGCACTCAGGTCTCACTTTTGCACTCACTGGGCAAATGCCTTGGGCTCAAAATGAAAGAGGGGGAATTTCAGCTACTTAGGATATACAAGAAATTCTTTATTCTGGTGGTGGTGAGGCACTGGAACAGGTTGCCCAGAGAAGCTGTGGATGCCCCATCCCTGCAAGTGTTCAAGGCCAGGCCGTATGGGGCTTATGAGCACCCTGATCTTGTGGAAGGCGTCCGTGTCCCTGGCAGGGGCGTTGGAACGAATGATTTTTAACCCAAAGATGATTTTTTTCCAACCCAAACCATTCTATGACCACCTGAGCAAAGGTGGAAAAACATGGTCCTGGCTACCCCTGATTGCTGAGGGGCAGGGGAGACACGGGTGCTGGGGATCCCCTGGGAAGGGAAGGGCAGCGCAAGGACAGTCGCACAACCCCATTCCGGGCGGAGAAGGGGCTCCAGGCGCCGCCACCGGGTCGAAGGGGGCAGTTTGCCCCAGTCTGGAAGAGCCCAGTGGGAACTCCCGGGACACCGGGGATCTCCCCCCGTTCCAGCGCCTCACGGACCGGCGCGGCCGGGGGCGAGGAGAGCAATACCGCCGTGCGCGCCACCCCGCCATACCCCCCCCCTACTCACCGCCCGCAGCCAGCGCCGCCTCCCCGCGGGGCCGGGCTGCGCCTGCGCGCTGGCGCCCCCTCCCGGGCGGAGGCCGGCGGCGCGGGCCAGGGGGCGGGGGAGGGAGCGGGTCCCGCCCCGCCCCGCCCCTGCTCTTCCCTCATGCGTGTGGCGGCGGGGGAGGCACGTTATGTTTGTTGGGGGCTGCGGAGCTGTTTGCGTAAGTCATAGAACCATCAAGGCTGGAAGAGACCTTTCAGGTCATTCAGTACAACCGTCCACCCCGCACTACCACTGTGACCCATAAGCACTAAATCACCCAGGGCTAGATCCAGAGGGCTCGTGAACGCCTGCAGGGATGGTGACTCCACCGCTTCTCAGGGAAATACTTCAACGCCTGGCCACCCTAACAGTGAAAAATATTTTTCTAATGTCTAATCTAAACGTCCCCTCTCTCAGTTCAAGGCCGTTCCCTCTAGTTCCGTCACTTCAGGCACGGCAGAAGAGACCGGCCCCAAAACCTTCCAGGGAGTTGTGCAGATGGATAAAGGCCCCCTCAGCCTCCTCTTCTTGAGAATAAACAACCACAGCTCCCTCGGCTGTTCCTCATAAGACGTGTTTTCTAGACCTTTCAAGAGCCTTCTTGCTGTTTGCTGGCCACGCTCCACCACCTCAATGTGCTTTTTGTAGTGAAGGGCACAGAAGACAATTCAGCATTCCAAACTATTCATTGGGAGATGGGGGGAGGAGCTGGCTGCATCAGACGGGCCCTTCACTGCTGAGCCCGCTCCTAGCGCCTGGCCATGGTCACAGCCAGTCCTGCCTTCATCCTCTCCTCAGCCTCCCTGCAGGACTGACCGACGCTCTGGAGATCCCCTTTTAGTTACTGTCTCAAGGCTGAACAGGCCCTGCTCCCTCAGCCTTTCTTTGTGAGAGGGATGCTGAGTTCTCTAAGTCATCTTTGTTTCCTTCCACTGGACTCACTCCAGGAGCTCCATATCTCTGTTTGTAAATGAGGAGCCCAGAACTGGTTGATCACAAGTGCTGGAATGAGGAAGATTCATGTGGAGGCAGTCTCTGGAGTACAGTTAGCTGAGCAGGAAAATATGCTATGTTTTAAGTGTCCAACTTTTGTTGTGTAGATCCAAACCCAAGATGTTGGGTGTCTAGAAACTCCTGGTTACATAAATGCTGCTGTGTGATGATGTTTTGTTTCCTTTTATTTGTAAACACTAAAATTAATAAAATTGCTTGAAGTCCAGAGGAAACAAAGCCTGGTTGCCTCTGACTGCTTGTGCCTTCCTTTCTACCTTTAATGCCACCAGGCAGTTTCAGCCACATTATAAAGTAGGGGAGAAAATTGAAATTTGGAAAAAAACAATACATGTAGGGTAGGGAGGGACACAGATCAGTGCTCTGTTAGGTGACTGGCAGGCAGAACCAAGATGTGATGGACAATATTACAGTTTTAGCAGCAGTGAGCTGCTGGATTAGCACATGTAGCTCTGGACTCACCAGCCCTGGATCACCCTCCTCTGTACCTGGAGGGTGAGTGAGGGGACTTTGGTGGAGTGTCTGCTTACTGCAGCCAGGGAGGCCGGAGGGAACAAACAGAAGTCTTGGTCAGCAGTGGATGAACACAAGCTGGCAGTGTGCCCAAGTGGCCAAGAAAACCAGTGGCATCCTGGCTTGGAGCAGCAATAGTGTGGCCAGCAGGAGCAGGGCAGTGATTGTCCGTCTCTGCTTGGCACTGGTGAGGCCACACCTCGAGTGCTGTGTCCAGTTCTGGGCCCCTCACTACAAGAAGGACATTGAGGCACTGGAGCATGTCCAGAGAAGGGCAACAAAGCTGGTGAAGGGTTTGGAGCACAAGTCCCATGAGGAGACACTGAGGGAGCTGGAGGTTTTCAGCCTGGAGGAGAGGTGGCTCAGGAGGGACCTTATTATTCCGTACAACTGCCTGAAAGGAGGTTGTAGTGAGGTGAGGGTTGATCACTTCTCCTAAGTAACAACTGACAAGACAAGAGGAAATGGTCTCATGTCGTAGCGGGTAAGTTTGGATTTCACCGGGAAAATTTCTCCACTGAAAAGATAGTCTGGCACTGGGACAAGCTGCCCAGGAGTGGCTCAAAAGGCATGTGGATGTGGCAGTTGTGGGCATGGTTTAGTGGTGGAAACAGTGACCCTAGGTGTACAGTGGGACTTGATAATCTTAGAAATAATTTCCAACCTTAATTATTCTATAATTCTATGAAATGTAGAGGTATCCAGTCTCACAGAGCTTCTTGTTCCATGTTTTTATTCTGCAGTAATCAAACTGCTATTTTTTTTTTTTTGAAAGACAGCAGAGTAATAATAAATTGCAGGTTAACTTTTCATGTCTAAATCCAGATGGAGTATCTAAATTTTTTTTTCTTGTGAGCAAATATAATGAGGTGAGAAAAATAATAGGGAAATAAGTTTAGGTGTCAGGAGAGGATTGAGTGGTATGTCTGGGGTTTGTGTCAACAATTAATTCACAACATACCATCTGCTAATCTGGTAGCTATTGTTTTGGTGGCATATGCCATGCAGCTGATTTTGTTTGGAAACTATTGAGTAGAAAATCTGAGTGAAGCTGCTTTTGTTTGTTTTCATATTTATCTAATTAAAAGAAGCCAATGCGAGCTTTTTGCAAGAGCTTGCTTTTGGGAAGGTAGCTTGGTTTTCTTGAGGGGAAGAGGGATGTTTTACTGTAATATAGGAGTTTTCCCAAGCAATTTTTTCCCCCACATTTTGGAAGCCAAAAGAATTACATCAACAGAGAGAAAGCACACTCACTTATTGGCCCATGTACCCCTTCCCAGCAGTTACACCACCCATGCAGATAAAACTTCTGATCCAAAGTCAGCCAGGGACATGACAGTTTTTTCTAGATTTTGGTAGGATGGGTTTGTGCCAGAACACATTTGCAACATATTGGTGGCAAGGTTTGTTAGGTTGCTGCTAAGTCTCCAGCCCTTATAAAGGACAGGTAGGTCCCAGGCATCACTGACAGGGGAAGGTCCTACACTGTACAGAAAACACCACTGGCTGAAGAGAATATACTCTCCATGTGAAGAGCTGCAGGATAAGGCTTTGTGTGTAAAAAGAGAAGCAGAGAGGGATGTAGAAACAGGCTTAGGCTTTGATGTGAATGCTGGTACTTGGCATATGTTAAGCATGTGCCAACTAACCAGATTAACTGTGCAGTGATGAAAAGCTTAGACTGCTTACTGTTTCTAGTTTTGCTTTATGTCTGTGGAAAAGTGTTGTATGTTATCTTTAATGTGAATATTATGTTGCTATCATCTGACCCCAAAGGATGTTGAAACATTCAATCCATTAAGTCTTATGAAGTTGTTTGGTATGTTTTATAGGAGAGGCTTTATAAAAGTGTAGAATAGTAAACATCTGTGGCATTTCTGAGTCACCCATCCTCTTAATATCCGACTATCTCTCCTGAAAAGAAATCACACAAAACCCCCTTCCTTTTCTAAACCTGAGCCTGTTACTGAGATTTATTTTCCTTTCAACTAAATTCCTTTGGGATTCTGCATTCAGCATTGTGCTTTGTGCCACAGCCATTCACAACCTAACAGCAATTTCTGCTTTTCTTGAGGCTCACACGCCCTTATCACTTGAGCTGCAGAGGAGGCTCTGCAGAGCGCAGAGCGCAGCCGGCGCTGTGCCCCGCAGCCATGGTTAGCATGCGGCCGCCAGCCCGGTGCGGGGCGGGGAGCGCCCCGTGCCTCCTGCCCCGGCTGGCTGACCTCACAGCTCCTGCTTGTTTCAGCTACTGCACGAGAACAGAGCTCCGCATTGTCCTCAGAATAAAGATAGGGTGCCTCAAGGTACTGATAAGCTTATCCTTGTTTCAGAGACACAGTTGCAGAGCTGTTGTGGGCTGAAAAAATTCTTTTTGCAGCTATACTGGAACTTCAGCACTGGTATGACTCATAGTGAGAGGGGCAACTACCATCACATGTTTGTTAGAGTTTTATATATGACCGTGAAATTCACTTTTTAAAATTATTTTTAAGTATTTTAGGCACCATGAGTTTCACAATATTTTAATTGGATTTGACAACCGGGACTTTGTTTTGTGCTGAACAAATCTGGGGGAGAAGAGAAGGCAAAAATTAGTAATTAAAAGTACTTTTTCCTTCCTTGCTCAAAGCTAATGATGAGAGTAATCGTTGTTGCACTGAGGCATGTGAAGCAGTATGGCTATATTAAGGACATAAATGCATGAGAAACAAACAGACCACCTAGACAGGGGTGGCACTGAGGGTGTTGAGGGTTTTCTGTGTGGTTGTTGCTCTGCTCATGTCAGTCTCAAGAGTCCTTGTGTTGATTTTCAGCAGCTTTTGCTCCTTTGTGTTGTTCCCATTGAAAGAAAGCTGTTTTCAGACAGCAGCATACGCTGTTTGGGACCCTACCACTTACAATCCCAAACAGTTTTAAGGCAATATGCTTTTTAAAACCAAGACTCTTCTGTTTCATAATATTATTTGTATGTCTTCCATAACACTTGTTAGCCAGCCCTGTCTCTGTGAGACAAAACAAATCACTCAGCCGTGCTTTCCAGCAAAGATTAAAGCAATTGTTATTCTTCAAACACTGATCAAGCTTATAAATCTTTTTCAATTGAATTCACTATGGAAGGAAAAAGATACTTTGTTTGGTTCTACTTTCATTTTTGAGTGGGTAAATTGGTTCTGACTAGGAACAGAATATCAAAACTCAAAGCATCCCCTCTAGAAAGAAAATGGTGGTTTCTACTACAAAAGAAGAGCAGAGAAACATATGCAGCATTGAATTTTCTCACTACAACAATGTACAGCCAGGTACCTTACATGGGGTTTAAAGACAAATTTGAGCTAAGACTGCATCTCCAAAAAGGAAGGGCAAGGGGAGACCTCTTTTCACTTGTAATTGCTCTGGACTTCTTTGCATGCAATGTCATAATTGCTCAGCTTTGCAGTATGCCAATTTTGTTCTCTGGTCCATTGCCAGAAAAGAAAAAATAATAAAGTTTATT